TGATTTCGATCAAAATCAGATTTTTTTATAAGTTTTCAAAGTTGCTCGAAAATCAGTTCAAGTCCCTGTGAATGTTGACCAAACTAGCCAAAAATTGTTCAGAGAGAAATTTCACTGTATTTCTGTTACATTTTTCATGATACATATGCATGTCCTTATGCTTAATAGAACATAGTAGAAGACATACTTTTTCAATTATCCTTTTTTCTTTTTTTATTCTGTAGTTGTTTCTCAGTTACAGCCAGAGAGCCCTACCATTGCCATGGACACCAGCAATGCTGCTCAAGCCAGTAGCATTCCTGACTCATTTTTAGCTAGTCCTAAGCCCACGCCAAGTACCACATCACTTATTCCATCGCATGTCAAAATCGGTGGATCTGCTGATATGAGTAGCTGGTCTAAAGAATATTTGAGTGTTATAAATGTCATTGGTCGTCTCTTTGAATGTTCTAATATATTGGCATTGCCTTCAGCAAGGTGTCCTATTGTTAGGTTTACCGTGTCCTCTTTGAATGTGTCTTGTGATGTATCAGTGAACCGAAGGTATGTTCATTATTAATTTAGGCTTGGGTCAAATGACATGTAACAGAGTTTCATAGAGAGGGGGGTAGCACTGGGATTCCCCCCCCCCACATTAAGTTTCCCCTCCCCCCACAAAAAAAATCTCCTTCTCAATGAAGCAATTAAAATAATTACAAATATACATTGTACATGTAAGCAGAAGCCAGCACAGTTCAGAGTTCCCCCCCCCCCACAAAAGATTTCTGTATGATAGCCTGTGTAATGTACTGTATAATATAATGTAATGGTAATTGTAATTTTATTTACAAAAAATTGTGTTTAAATTGATGTTTATATACCCCAAATACCAAGAAAACTACAAAAATGCTTTGAAAATAACCCACTATATGGTATCAAAAAATATAATGAAAATTTATGTGCCTAAGTTCCTAACTTTTAATCGGAATCAGCTCAAAACTTTTTGATTATTTTGCATATCATACTAAGTTAATGACATCAAATTTATGCAACTATGTAGTACATGTACATGCACTTGCAATTGTATGAACTCATCTTTATCCTTCCCTTCCTTTCCTTTCTCTTTGCCATATCTCTTCTCTCTCCTTCTTTTCCTGCTATGTCTGTACCTTCCTAGGCTAGGCCCTTATAATTCAAAGCTGCTGAAGGCCTACTTGAACTTTGATAAAAGAGTATCGCCTCTTCTTTATCTCTTGAAGTCTTGGCTAAGAACGTGTGGCGTGATGGGTTTTAAAAGAACACAAATAAACAATTACTCGCTCTCACTTATGCTCATATATGCCCTCCAGAAAACATCTCCTCCTGTGTTACCATGCTTCCAGGACCCAAAAACATGGCCGCTAAATATGGAATGGTATGGCGGAGCAGGATTCATGTTAAGGAAGCACGAAGCTGAATACATTGATGGATGGAAAGTTGATTTTGTCAATCCCAACTCACTTCTTCCATCAAAGAACACATCATCAATAGTATACCTATAATGAATTATATCTTCTTATTTTATTTTTATCTTTCTTTTTGTAGCTGAACTAGCTCACCATTTCTTCCATTTCTATTCAGCAGTTTTC